TTACATTTATCCAAGTTTTTCATTGTCACAAATCAGATTGGTGGATTCTTCAAAGCATCTTTCCGTTGTGGGGTAAGGCAATACAACACTCAAATTTCAAATGGTCTGTCTCAATCACTGCTCTGTTCCCTTTCTGCTTAAAATCATAGGTCAAGCAGTTGATCCTTTGAGAGAATAGCACTATTGTATTTTTTTGCATTATTAATCTGAACATGTATGTCAAATTAACAATACTGGACAACAGTGCCACATTTTTTCTGATTTTGTTCCCACTATTAGCTCATTTCTTCAATGAAGTTGGTCTCTAAGGGTCTTCTTTGAACGGTGGACTTGGGTAGATGCTCACACCTACTGGTTAAAATGATCCCAGTCACATGACATCATTAAAGGATCACTATAGGGTCAGGAACACAAACATGTATTCCTGACCCTATAGTGTTAAAACCACCATCTAGCCCCCCTGAGCCCCTCATGCCTCCATAAATATAGCAATATCTTACTGTATTCAAGCCTGAAGCTGTAACTCTGCATGCTGTTAGACTCAGAAAAACAAACAGTCTACTGACATCATCAGAAGTGGTAGCCTGATCCAATCACAGTGCCTCCCCATAGGATTGGCTGAGACTGACAAAGAAGCAGATCAGGGGCAGAGCCAGCACAATTCAAACACAGCCCTGGCCAATCAGCATCTCCTCATAGAGATGAATTGAATCAATGAATCTCTATAAGGAAAGTTCAGTGTCTGCATGCAGAGGGAGGAGACACTGAATGTTTGGATGCATTTTAGGCAGCCATGACCCAGGAAGGATCTCTAACAGCCATCTAAGGAGTGGCCAGTGAAGTTATAACTAGGCTGTAATGTAAACACCGCTTTTTCTCTGAATGATTCTACTCACCAGAACAAATTCAATGAGCTGTAGTTGTTCTGGTGACTATAGTGTCCCTTTAAATTAAATATTTCAGCACTGTCTCTGTAAACTACAGTAAACTGTGTTTGTTTTTTTAATCAAATAAATATTAAGTTATAAGATCGAATTTTAAAAATAGACCAAAAAATAATTGTTCTCGGCCCTATACAAGGTATTCTTTATTTACTATTGATAAGTAACATTCTTTTCTTGTTTCGCTGTGTGTTTGTGTTATTATCACTAGTCACAGTTCTGCTTCACAATACAAAGCACAATGCAAATATAGATTTTTATACACTTGGGACCGTCACAAAATTAGGTATGTTTTGCTTGCAGTTTTGACTGGTTTTGTTTTATTGTTATTTTTATACAGGAGAGTTTTTTTGTACATAGCTGGTAATATCTTTAGTAGTCTGCACATTGGAATTGCTTGGCAATGGTGTCTTTTATATTGTCTAGTAAAACTAGCTTAATATAAAAATAAATAAAGCGTCATTTTAAAATTCGTGGCGCCAAATCAAGCCTGGTATTAGGGACTTCCTTTATCCAGGGCTGTCAGGTTAGAACATTTGGTGCAGGTTAGCATGATGTTATCATTGTATCAACAACATACATCCTGGTGTATAGTAAACCACTTAGAGACTTTTGTGTCACAGATTATAGTAACACTTGAAAATAAAATGGTTGCTGTCTCCTACCTCTGTCTCAGCAAAATACTGCATAGTATACCCATTGTATTTCCCAATTACTTTTTCACTAATTGTAGGTTTAAAGATATTGCTTAATAATATATGTCAACTTAATTGACTGTCTGGGAGGCCATTATTTCTGTCGCATTCCTGTTGTAATGGCCTTCTAGTTTTATTTAAATTTGTGCTTGCTAGACAGGAAGTTAGTGAAATGATAGCTAGAATGTAATGTAGATAAGTTCTGCATTTTGAGATGAGGAACACACAAATTTAGACTGACTTAGGAAGGTTGATAAATGAGCATGCGTAAGGAGACTAAGAGACTAGGCAGCCATCTACAATGTCACTCAGCAGTTGCAAAAGCCAGTGAGATGTTGTCAAGTAAAAAAGGGAGTGCTCAACTAGGTTTTAAAATATAATTTTGCTGGAAAGAGACTTGCGTCCATCAAGTTCAGCCTTCCTCACATATGTTCCTCACATATATTTTTGCTGTTAATCCAAAAGTAGGCAAAAAAAGCTAGTCTGAAGCTCTTCCAATTTTGCAACAAACTAGGAAAAAATTCCTTCTTGACCCCAAAATAACAGTCAGATGTCTCCTTGAACGGTCATTTTATCTATGAGAAAATAAATGGTTCAGTACAGAGTGAGCAAAGTTATAAAGAGTATTATCTGCCTAAAGAGTTGTTTTTTTTTGTTTATTATGTTAAGATTTAATAACTTTAGGGCAGAGAGGCACTATGGCGTTTTGTATTCCTTGCGCTATAGTTCCTTTATTTTTTATTTTATTTTTGCCTTCTTTTGGATCATTGGTAGAACGAGAAAAGTTGATGGACTTGAGTCTTTTTTCAGTGTATATTATCATGTGACTATGCAACTACGTAATCTCAACTAGCTGGTGACCCTGAAGATCCCCTTCAAGCTACTTCTTAGCACTCTCATAATCTGATAACAGTGGATGAGTGGTCTACATTTCTCTGATTCAGGCACAAGTTGTTTGAAGTACTATTTTCCTATCAATAGGCTTTTGAAATAATTTGTATTGGATACACCCATCCTGTAGAAAGAACTTTGGATCAAAACATTTGACTTGTTCCATCATAGTGCAGATCAAGGTATGTTCAGTCATGTGAACATTTCTTCTTTTTCCATCTTTCTTCTCCAGTCCAGATAAAAAAAAAAAACAGATCATCAATGAAATGTGTGTATGTCAAAATATAGCTCACAAACAATGACAGCATTCTTGTGATGTCGTATACAAACATGAAGGCACTATCACAGAACGCTGGGCTTACGACAGTTGTGACCCAATAATTGATTAGCTATTGAGAAAACATGGGACAGGAAGCAATAACATTTTGTAGGAGCGAAGGAAGTGTACATAACCAGAAGAGCTACTCATGTTTCAACAGGAAAAGTGACCAGAACTTATGTAAAATGGGGGAGGCCCACGAAACACAGATTAGCATAGTTCTAACTTCCAAACTCACCACATTGTCTCCATCATACATTAGGTATATTTGGTGCAACATCGTATTGAATATTTTATGTATTTTAGTGATATCCATGCAGTTTCTTACTGGTAAAGCTCACTGGTTTACAAGCAGATTGTGGGGAGTGTGTTTTGGTATAATTACGTATGTATTTTATGCCATGGGTTTAAATATGAAAGTTGTTGTATAGTGGCCTTTAATGGTGCCCCATGTGTAGTTTGATTTAAACAAAAAGGAAAGTTATAGTATTTAGCAATCAAATATAGTACAGTATTAATCAAAATTCAAAATATAAATAACAATGTCATGCACACAAACCCTGAGGATTTATACCCAATACACAGTATTGAGAGGAAGGAAGTGAAAAGACCCCCCAGCAAGAGGAATGCATTGTTTTTTGTGTCAAACTCCATTACACTGAATGGAAATGAAGCTGCACCCACCCATAGGGAGAAATAATGGGATTCACACACTGAATGCAGGATTATTCACTAAAGTGAGAATTCAAAGTGAAATGAAAGTGAATTTCAAATTAAAGGTCAAAAAGCCCAAACTGGAAAAATTACCTCAGTCAGATATGCATTCAGCTCCTCTGGCCTTAAAGGGACACTATAGTCACCAAAACAACATTAGCTTAATAATGCGATTTTTGTGTCTATACCATGCCTCTGAGGTTTCACTGCAGGGAGACTGCTGAGACATGAGCTAAACACCAAAACTGCTTCAACTGCTTCATGTGACTCTAGTGTCCCTTTAAGTTTGAAGTTCACTTTGTATTGGCTCTGAAAGTGTAGTGAATTGGAAACTGAATCGCAAAATGTTTGCAAAAACAGGTAAGAGCTGTCGAATTTTTGCCTAGATTTTGCAGTTTGGTTTTCAATTCACTACAATTTGGTGTTATTGTAACTCCAATGAGATTAAGAGACTTCTTAGTTTGTTCTCTAAACTCCAAATTGTGGTGTCTTAAAATCTGAATAGTAACATTTACATCTAACTAGCCAAACTGTGTTTATAGCCGATTTGAAAATGTTTCCAACTCAGATATTTTGGCCTGAATCTTGGAATTCGTTTTTTTTTTCTCTAACAAATCATAATTTAGTGAATATATCCCATTATCAGCATTTGGATTTGGGAGCAATTTCCATAGTCTCCTAAATGTGATAATTTAAAAAGGCTTATAATGTACATTAAAAAAAATGTCATGGTCAAAGTTCTGTAAAAGGAACAATTACCAAAAACACATATATAACGCTTCACATTTGATGAATAAAGTTGTTTTTTTTTAACCAGTAAACCCATTCCTGGCAAGGAGTTTAATTTCATCACCAGCCTAGCAAGGTATAGGTGATGAAAGAGTTAACTATACCTTGGTGTAAACTATGCCTTTAAGTGACGCTTTGCATTCCCTCTCCTGCTCTCAGACTAGAAAACAATATTTGGTTTTTACTTTTATTACCATTTTTTATTTAGACAAAATTAGCTAGCTCTCGGGTCGGGTTAAAAATAATCTACATCAATTAAGCAAACAATAATTTTGTTTTGCTCTAAAGCTATACGCCTCCTGACTACCGACCATAACAAGGAGCATGGAATTCTGATAGATTCGGATTAAACTTCCTCCTTGCAATTATTAATCCACATTATTTAACCCGGATAACCGCATCCTGGTTTTACTGTCATCTTGCCCATTCAAAACTCAGCTCATTTCCTTCTCCCTCCTGGATAGAAACCACCAGCACAGCAGCCAGGAGTGACTCCCTCACCCCCCCACCCCAGGCAATAGAACTTTCAATGGAGGGCAATAAATCAAGACGTGTTCCCTCTCAGTATGACAGATGGCATCACCCTGCGTCAGCTTGCTTGACTAGCCAATTTATCATCACACACTCTCCCTTCAGAGCCCCCACCGCTATCAGCAGCAGACATGAAGACCAGGGACTATGTGGCAAACTCACTACCGGTAGTAGAACTTTATGTATCAAAATCCACTTTGCAAAGTCAACGTTCCAGCCTTGCACAATGTATCACTGTACCAACCATGTGCACCGCCCCACCCCCTGCCCCCAACCTGGAGGAGGAGAATTCACTTCACTACTTCTTTGTTTAGACTTTTTCCCTGTACCTTTAACACCCATGGACAGTAAATTAGATTAAGATTGGGCACAAATAGGACAGGCAGCCCCTATTTTGTACTTACTGTTGTAATAGTTTTTTTTTTTGGAGCATCATTACTGTAGATCAGAGATCTGATTCCCAGTTGGAGGGGTTAGAGATGGACGAGGCTGTATGAAGGATTCTATCTAAATAATTTTTTGGGGGGTGTGGGATCTGTTTAGGGGAGATGGACGAGGAACGACCCCGGTCTCAGACTGTGAACACCACAGCAAGCACATACAGTGAGAATTTCTCGAGCAGTGCCAGCTTCGCCTATGACAAGCTCTTTCTCAGGACTGCCCCTGGATTGCTCCTGCTGGCTGAAATTGTGAGTATATTATTTTTATTTATCTTAATCTTACAGCTGCACCTGTAGCAGTACAGCTGCTATAAAACATGTTTGGGTTTTTTCAATAGATGGTCTTTTGATGTATCTGAAAAAAAAGAGGCTGTAACACTATTAATCCTGTTCCATCAATGGGTTGATGTGATAAATTGATTTCTATGGAAGCTGCAAACAGGCTGAAACAGCAAAGAATCTACAGGACTGCAACCCCCATTACTTTGCAGCTGTAGTTGGAGTGCAAGTCCTATCACTTTTAGCCGGTGACCATAGGATACTTGGCTACCGGGTTGTTGTTTTTTTTTTTTCTGCATATCTAGTCCAATAGAAGGATTTTCTCTCGGTCCTTTAAGTTATTACTACATGTCTACATAGTTTTAATTTAATTATGAAAATATGATTATTAGATTAAGGAAATCACTGCAGATGAAGAAGGAAGGACCCACAGTGGTCACTGATTTAGGTTACAGTGAATATATGATATCTGGGACACCTGGCTAGATTAGAGGTACTAATCAAAAATAAAGTAAAACAAGGTGAGGTCTTGATTCTCATATAGTGAGTGTCCATGCAATTATTATTATTTTTATTTTTTAATTCTTGTAAAACTTTCTATTTACTAAATTTGAGGTAATGTGGCGCAGGACTATAAGATGCACTCTGCAAGTATCCTAAGGTCAGCATTTTCCAACATGTTCAGTTAGATTGTGAAATAAAACTCAGAAGTACCTCAGAGTACACATAAAATATGTTGGGAAACCAAAAATCAAGGTACATTCCACTTTTAATATTTTCTGTATTGGTTATCAAATGTATAGCAAAAACACCAGCGAAAACAAACATTAAAATGGGCACAAGCTCATTACAGTCCTGAGGAATCTGTTGGCGTTTTTATAAATAATAATAATTAATGGTATGGTGAAAAGCTACAAAAATACAAAATAGTTTATGGTTGGTTCATATGTTACCTATGCACTTGAAGTGCAGGGGTCTGAGTTTTCAAGCAACAGTTCACTGCAAAGAAGGGAGACTAAAAATGATTGGAATGAAAACTTTGGTAATTCTGTTTCTCTAGATATTCCCCATGACATTCAGCTGCTGAAGTGTTTATGGTGTTTGAAAATAACTTGTTAAAGAAATACTCCAAAGTTTTATTCATTGGTATAATTTCAACCCTGAGTACAGTGGGATAGTGAAAGCAGGTGATTTTAAATAACTTGTACTTTGCAAACATCATATTGAAACTTGTCATCTAAACCATTTCAGTAATCCCTGACACTCATTCCTTTCACCTGTTGGCATAATCTGCTCCTTTAACCTGTTTTCAAAGTTATACAGTCTTATTCATGGTCTTTATCTTTAGTTGCTACCCATATGGGCCTCTTCTCCAGTATTTATAACACAAAGTTTTAGCTCAAATTGTCAAACACTGCACATACATGCACCATAACCACTTAATATTAGTATAGTGGTCATGGTGCCTGCAGTAACTCTTTTTAAACTGTAAAGTGTGTGTATGTGTATATGTATGTGTGTGTGTGTATATATTAAAAAACCCACAGAATTGCAAATTTTAGACCAAATATCTGCTTTTGAAACATTTTCAGTGTGTATTTTGGGCACCCTTGCTTTAAAGGAACATTATGATACAAACATGTATTCCTAACACTATAGTTGTAGAGTGGCTGTTTAGGTTAACGTTTCCCTCTCTATGAATTTAAAAAAGGTATTTAAACGTTCCTTTTCTCCCTTGCCGTGGCTGGCCCAACTTAATGGCTGAGATCATTGGGGGGCTATTGTGCATGTAAGAGGAAAACACAGCACTGCGCCGATTTAGCATATGCTCATAGAGATGGACTGAATTTATGCATCTCTCTGGGGAGCGTTCAGGGTTTCTTTGCAGAGCGTGGAGACTGTGAACGTAGGTGCTACACAATATGCAGCACTGGACTAGAAAGCACCAGCACTTCTGGTGGCCGTCTGAGTGACTGCCACTAAAGGTGTTACACGGCAGCAATGTAAACACTGCCTTTGCAGGAACAGGCTTTAGATGTCATAACCACTACATGGTGACTTTAGTATTCCATTAAGTTCCGCAAGTTGCAAGGTGGGGCCTCCGTGGATCGGATTTGCTGTTCCAGTAAATCCCATAGATTCTCAGTCGGATTTAGATCTGGAGAATTTGTAGGCCAAGGCAACACCTTAAACTCTTTGTCAAGTTCCACAAACCATTTCATAGTAATTTTTTGCAGTGTGGCAGGGTGCATTATTCTGCTGAAAGAGGCCACTGCCATCACGGACCAGCAGTGCCATGAAGGATTGTAGGTACGTGCTACGTGTAAAAGTAACATCCACATGTATGTCAGGATTCAAGGTTTCCCAGCTGAACATTGCCCAGAGCATAACACTGTCCCCTCCTTCCTTCTTCCCATGGTGCAGACCTGCACAAAATTTGGCAGTAGGTAGGGGACAAAATTCAAATAGGCTAAAATTCAGGCTGCAGATGCACATACACCGACAGACACACAGATACAGACATATATACACTTTCATAGCCACCCTACAGTTTCCTACCTTTTTGGGTGCTGTAGAGTGGCTTCCATGATATCCAGTCTGCAGACTGAGGATGTTGGGAGTTAGAGGTTGGCTCTTGCAGCCTGCACCCCCTCCTCTCCTGTCTCTCACGGCCTGGTCCCATGTTAGCTGCCTTCCCCCGTGTTGCTCCAGTTTTTGGGAGGAAGCGACAACCTGTCACTTACTCCTATGCTGTCCATAAGCAAGGGGCCTGATTGCGCTGTTTAACCACTTAAGGACGGCGGGCATCATAGTACGTCCTATTCACTTACCTGCTTGCCGGCGATCGCGATGGGGGAACTTACCTGGCATCCCAGGGAGTCCCCCTGTGTCTGATCCGGCCCTCCTGGGCCATGTGATCGCGAGGTCCTTGTGAGGACCTCGCGATCACATGGACGGAATAGCCGTCCATAGCAGTGCCAGCAAGGGGAGTTCCTGGAATGTCAGTATGGATGTCATCAACAAGATCATGAATACGGCGCAAAACTGTGTTGTTGGAAAGTGGCTCAGTTTCATTGTTTTACTCAACTTCTCACTTAAAATACATGGCACAATTTAGTTTGCATATGGCTTTATTAGTGATTCCCCAATTATGTGTGTGTGTGTGTGTGTGTGTGTGTGTGCTTCTCCTGCAAGTGCTATGAGGTAACTCATTGTAAGAAGCCTCTGTGGCTTTTTCATTAGCATTTTGACTTTTTTTTTTTTTTTTAAATCATAAAATGTTACTCTTCTGATACTCCTTTTTAGCTTTTGCTTTAAAAAGTCAGTGTCTTTATCTTTGTACTCTGCGTGGTTTTGCTCAAAATGACTATGTAATTTAACAGATGCTAATGAACTGTTTGGCAATATTTTATTGCAAAGTACGCATTGTGCTTCAGAACAATCTTCATTTCTGGCACTTGTGAATCCAAATAACAAGTAGCTATCATCATATTTTCTTTTTCTTTTCTTTGTTTGAGAAGTTTGGTTAGCATTGTGTGCTATTTATTTTTTGACTTGTCACTTGAATCTACTGTTCCTCAAATAGCAGGGACAACTATTTCGGGCATGTTTTCTGGATTTTTAGTTGTATCTTCTTTCTCTGTTTCTATAAGTGCCAAAGAGGTAGAAGTAGTAGTAATTTTCTCTGAAGAGTTCCCTGCTTTAACCAGCTTTCCAAGTTCATGGTGGTTTATTGGCTAAAAAAACCCCTAAAACAACAGTTTGAAAAATACAGATCTCACAACCTGACTGAAAAGGATTCTGATTTTGATAACGCTCTTAAAAAGAACTCGACTTAAAGGACCACTATAGGCACCCAGACCACTTCAGCTTAACCCCTTAAGGACACATGACATGTCTGACATGTCATGATTCCCTTTTATTCCAGAAGTTTGGTCCTTAAGGGGTTAATGAAGTGGTCTGGGTGCCTGGTCCTTCTAGGGTTAACCCTTTATTTTTTATTTTTTTTATATAAACATAGCAGTTTCAGAGAAACTGCTATGTTTATGTTAGGGTTAATCCAGCCTCTAGTGGCTGTCTCTTGACAGCCGCTAGAGGTGCTTGCGTGCTTCCCACTGTGAAAATCACAGTGAGAAGACGCCAGCGTCCATAGGAAAGCATTATGAATGCTTTCCTATGGACTGGCTGAATGCGTGTGCAGCTCCTGCCACGCATGCGCATTCAGCCGAAGAGGAGGAGAGCTCCCCGCCCGGCGCTGGAGAAAGAGGTAAGTTTAACCCCTTCCTCTCTCCAGAGCCCGGCAGGAGGGGGACCCTGAGGGTGGGGGTATCCTCAGGGCACTATAGTGCCAGGAAAACTAGTGTTTTCCTGGCACTATGATGGTCTTTTTAAAGCAGGATTTTTGAGTTCGACTTGGAGCAAAAAGATTTAAACACTTTGAAAAATACAGTTAACAGTTTTTTGCCCCTGACAGTCTTTTTCTATTTCCCTACCCATCAGCTCCACTCTTTATCACTCTTCTACCACGAGTGATAGAATATGGCTGACGGCTGGGCAGGCTCTCTCATGGACAAGCTAAGTCTAAGTGGCTGGCTGATGGGCAGGGCGGGCTCTGATGGACAGGCAGGCTCTGATGGGCAGGCGTGCTGACTGCAGCGATGGCTTAAGATTACACTCCTGCGATCTCTCATGAGGTCGCTGTTGCCGGATCTTTGCTGTTTCTGATCTTCCAGGAACAGCAGGTAGCGGCAGCCATCTTGGATGTGGCAAAATGCCGCAGAACCCCAATTTTGTTCTCCTGGAACCTAGGGTTTTGTGGAACACTAATTGGGAAACGCTGGTCTATGTAATCGAGACAGAATATAGAAAGCACTAAGACTCGTAAGATTTTTGGATCCTTAAAGGACAACTGTCACTTCAAAACTATTTTTAGTATAACTATCCTTTCAACAAGTTTTGCAGGTAAGTGTATAACTTTAAATACATGTACAAAAATGAGGAAAAATCTCATCCCAATCTTTAGTATCCTTCAGCCATATCAATGTACCTTGTTCAGACAGTGTTTGAAAAATCTATCTTTCTAGTTTATGTGCAGGGAGTGAAGTAGGGAAGACCAGAGACTGTTTTCAAACAAGGTCTGACCAAAGGTGCATATAAATGGCCGAAGAATGCTGTCCTATACTAAATGTTGTTTTTTTTGTTTTGTTTTTTAAATTATCTAATATATTGAAAAATATTAACATTAAAAAAAATCTAAATTTGAAATGACCGAAAAAGGGTTTGAATAATATATTATTTAAAACTTTTTTTTTTTAAATGTAAATATTTCAGTATATTAGATAATTTGATAGTTTTAAAAGTTTAGCCAAAATATTAAATCAAGACCATCATTTGCATATGATGTTGTACCCTGGTGAGGTATAATTTTAAGCCTAAGGTGACAAAAGGCCATTGCGCACATACTAAAAAGAACTGATGTCTGGATGCAAGCCATGTTAGTCTCCTGATAAGTATCTCCATAGAAGGGGAATGTCCTTTTTGTTTATAATGTGACAAGCTGGCTGCTTGTTGGAAAAAACATTTTAACTGTATGGCCAGTCCATACTTGAGCAGCTTCCGCAATTGGGTAGACTTCAAACAAGGCAAATGTTTTGTGAAAGTCAACCACTTCTTTTGTTTCTGGATGCCTGAAATCCCTAAGCCAATAGTAAACAGCCACAAATCTAGTTGAGGCTGCTGCGTTGGTCCAAACTACTGGAGAGTTGTCTGACAGTGGTGGAAGAAACCTGAACCTCCCTTCCAATTTGCATCTTTGCCACTTGTTGAGATCTGCCGTTGTGTAGGCAGCTAGAGATAGTTTACTATCATTGTCGAAAAAACTGCATGTTTCAGCGGGGACGAGACACATACTGCCCTACCCACGGTAAACAGAACCAGGACCTACCTGGGGACACATTTCATGAGGCCCATCCACGCAAAATCTCTGCTCCGGCTCCTGCGGCATATGCACATGGCAGGGGCGCGGGGGGGGGGCGCTCCCCTGCGTTCACGAGCCACAACCCGACTAAGCATGTACCCCTGTTTCCCCCCTCCCCCCAAGGACCGATGGGGGTTGTCACAGGAGGGCCCCGTCGAGTGTTGGGGCACCAAGCTCAGCAGAGTCGATCCAGCCACAAAATGGTGGCGAACGACTAAGAGCCATTCACCATGAAAAGACAAGATGACATGCTGGAGAGGCTGGATGCCTTACTTGTGACTTTCTGGCGCAAGCTGGGCGAACGACAGGCTGTAACAAACCCTCCAGTCGAACTCTCACCGATGACACTACCCCCACGTGCACGGATCAGAGGCACGAGGAACCAAAAACGGCACGCCGAAAACAGCGAGACTCCATAACGACACCCAAACCCGCACGACTCCTACACCGGACCACTGCCAAATTCCCAAGCAGGCTGAAGCCAGCCGCACTCAAGCCTCCACCAGCGCCAGGCACAACAACCATGAAGAGCCCTCTCCCATACCCATGCCGGGCGGCAAGAGACACGGAGCTCCGACAAGCGGCTGGAGGAGACATGGGCAGATGCCCCTTACTGAATATTCTATACTTGACCAGGAGTGTGACATACCCGCGGCAGGAGTTGGCTGACCGGGACACTTATCACTGCAGATGAGATGAGCGTTTATACCTCATGCTGCCCATGTCAGTGACTGGGGATGGCTTATTGTTTCTATATGTTTTGGGGTTTTTTCAGCTAATTTCACAAGACTCACGCATGTCATACACTATTGCTAACATGTACCCAGCCTGTTTACCACTAGACGCAAGCTTGTCATACACTACTGCTAGCACGTCTCCAGCCTGTCTACCACAAGACACAATCTTGTAATGCACTAATGCTAACATATACACAGCCTGTTTAACACAAGACACTAGCCTGTACTACATTACGGTTTCTCATTTATACTAGAACACTTAATTGAAACTCATCAGTTATACAGAGTCTAACCTGCCTACTTCTATGTACGCTGTTGTGGCGTTTGTTTATGTACCCACCTGCACAATAAAAGTGAAGAATGAATAATAAATAAAAAATTCCACCTGGAGTTGCAGGCAAAAGTGAACATGCCATCACTGGACCACCAGGGCTTGCAGCATTATGTCTACCATCCCTGGTGGCAATTCTGCCAGGCTGTTACTAATGGTCCCTTCGCTGTTAGTTCCTTCATTCTCAGGTTGTTCCTTTTCTTCCTCTGAATACTTCAGCTTTCCTGGCTATGGCTGGGAATGGGATATTCTTCTCTTTGGTTCTTCTGTGATCCTCGTTATAGTCATATGGAACTTGCACTTGCAGAATCCTGGGTTTTAGAGATGGAGAATGCATCGCTTTCTTCCGATTTCTGAGAAATCTAGTACTATGGAGAATTTAACCAAGCGTGCGAAAAGAGAATGCTTCCCCACCACCCTAAAACCCTAAACTAGATGACCACCTAGGTCCAAGAGGTAAAGCACTACCTAGGCGGGTGACAGGTGAGGCAATGCTAGGTGCCAAGTCTCTATCTATGGTTGGGTCGAGTGACTTGAGGATAAGGAGCCATAATACCAGGGACTGTGTGACTCAGGACCTCCTTTGACCGTATGAGCTGCGTGGAGAGTCTGACTTTCTGCTGCTTGCCCTCTCCTTGGAGTTAAACAATAGTAGTGTGGTTGAGCGGAAATGGTGCGAAAAAGGGGTTTCTGCTGCATATCTGCTCCAAATAGCCAAGGTAGACTGACTGGGGGCCAGACCTCCTATGTACAATCTCCAGTGTCTTGGAAGCAGTCCGTGCTTTGCACCAGTACCTGCCAAAACCCTGGAACTTGAAGTCCTACCCTAGCAACCCCACAATTCATTGTGAGCCAGCATTGGACGGTGTCTGTAGATATGATAGTGGTCCTGTAAATATCCAGACAAATTCTCCTGCAACTCCAGGCTACTGCCTTAATAAATACATTCAAATAAATGTTATAGGTGTTTAAACGATCCATAGAGTGAACTGCTTGTGCTTGCCATTTTTGGAATCTTTTAGACAAACACTCTTTTTCTACTTGTGTAGCGAGCTCTCAGAGCATGAATAAAGGAGCATGGTTCTGTACAAAAATCTTACCCACAAAAAAAAAATACTGATTTGGGTTTAAAAAACAAACAAACACATTCCTTGGAGTGCCATCACTCTATTAGAAAGTATCCTGCTATTTCAAGACTTATTATTATTATTATTATTATTATTATTATTATTATTGCCATTTATATAGCGCCAACAGAATCCGTAGCGCTTTACAATATTATGAGAGGGGATTTAACTATAAATAGGACAATTACAAATAAACTTACAGGAACAATAGGTTGAAGAGGACCCTGCTCAATCGAGCTTACATTCTATAGGAGGTGGGGTGTAAAACACAGTAGGACAAGAATTTGCAATCAAATAAGGTGGGCTGCCCTTTAGGAGAGGACAAGAGACAGGTATGTGAGGTAGGGGTTAGTCTTGGAGGCCATAAGTTTTCCTAAAGAGATGGGTTTTAAGGCACTTCTTAAAAGATGCAAGACTAGGGGAGAGTCTGATGGCGGGAGGCCGGCTATTCCATAGGAAGGGAGCCGCCCGCGAGAAGTCCTGCAAGTGCGAGTTGGCCGTACGGGTGCGGACAACGGACAGGAGGTGGTCACGGGCAGAGCGGAGAGACCGAGAAGGGACATACCTATGAATCTGTGAGGAGATATGAGGGGCTAGAGTTGTTCAGTGCTTTATAGGTGTGAGTTAGTGCGTTGAATTGACTCCTATAGCACACAGGAAGCCAATGTAAGGACTGGCAGAGGGGTGAGGTGTGAGAGAACCGACTAGAGAGGAAAATCAGTCTAGCAGCAGCGTTCATTACAGACTGTAGGGGTGCAGTACGGCTTTTGGGAAGACCAAGCAGGAGAGGGTTACAATAATCCATGCGGGAAATTACTAGAGCATGGACAAGCTCCTTGGTAGTATCTGGTGCAAGAAAGGGGCGGATGCGGGCTATGTTTTTAAGATGGAATCTACAGGATTTGGCAACATGCTGGATGTGAGGCTCAAAGGTGAGACCAGAGTCAAGTATGACGCCAAGACAGCGCGCTTGCAAGGATGGGCTGATGTTGGTACCACAAACTTGAAGGGAGAGCGAAAGAGGAGGATCAGTATTAGGAGGAGGAAAGACAAGGAGCTCAGTTTTTGAGAGATTGAGTTTCAGAAAGCGGGAGGACATCCATTCAGAGATGGAAGAAAGGCAAGCAGTGACACGTTGCAGGACAGCAGGGGAGAGGTCTGGGGAGGAGAGATATAGCTGGGTGTCATCAGCGTACAGGTGGTAGTGGAATCCAAATGAGGTAATAAGTTTGCCAAGAGAGGCAGTATAAAGAGAAAATAGAAGGGGACCAACGACTGAGCCGTGGGGGACTCCAATCAAGACAGGGCGAGGGGAGGAGGTATCATTAGAAAAAAAGACTAGTATTTGATCAATACAAAGGCCATTGTATGTATGTATGTATTAATTAAAAAATTATTCTTGCTGGTTTTGGTTGCCTTGTACGGTTGTGATTAATTGTATTTAAATAGACATACATACATGTATTTTTATAGAATGTACCAAGGGAAAAAGATAATGGCTCCAGTTAATCCAAAGTGATTTAGAATACAGTGTCACAGTAATCCAGCATTGTATATTTCCACAAGGCTGTTACATTCTTGAAGAATTCCTCAAGCGACATTGATTTGACTGTAATGTGTCATTGATTAGAGATTATACATTGAATTGAAAATAATACAGAAAATAACTTGCAATTGCAGTCCGGAACCTATGATGATAATGATGCTGTCATTATGACTGCACAGGATAAATTGTGGATTTTCTAGTAATTGGATATTTGATCTTGTTTAGAATGTGTTGTGTGTCTTTATTTTTTATTTTATTTTTCTTGCTCTTAAATACATGGTGTCCCAGTGGGGTTGTTCTGGCTAGCAGTTACATTTTAATGTATATTGAGAATTGTTGCTTGCTTATCACCTTCTGTTTGCATGTATTACAAGAGATGACGTCCCTAGGAATGTTACAAAAATGCCTTACCAAGCAGTATCTGTGTTTGTTGTTCATTACTTATACTGGATTTGGGGGGGGGGGAGAGAAGGAAGTATTTGATCCCCTGCTGATTTTGAATGTTTGCCCACTGAGAGAAATGATCAGTCTATAATTTTAATGGTAGGTGTATTTTAACAGTGAGAGACAGACTAATAAATCCAGAAAAACGCACGTCAAAATTTTATAAATTGATTTGCATGTCATGAGTGAAATAAGCATTTGACCCCTTCGACTTGTTGGCAATCACAGAGGTCAAAACAAAAGCAAGTTACCTGCGCGCTCTCTCTCCTTAATCCCTATGTATATTCAAACAAATGGAGATAATTTAGTTACTCCAATGGCCATTGGAAGGAATGCCCGCCTGCCAACGTCAAGGCAGGCCCCCCCCTCCCCTCCCAGGCGGGTCCTACACTGACCTTTCACTTTGCTTCCTTAAAGGACCTCTATAGGCACCCAGACCACTTCAGCTTAATGAAGTAGTCTGGGTGCCAGGTCCCTCTAGGATTAACGCTTTTTTTAATAAACAGCAGTTTCAGAGAAACTGCTATGTTCATAAATGGGTTAATCCAGCCTCTAAAGCCTCTAGCGGCTGTCTCATTGACAGCCGCTTGATGCGTTTGCGTGCTTCTCACTATGAAAATCACAGTGAGAAGATGCCAGCGTCCATAGGAAAGCATTATGAATGCTTTCCTATGAGACTGGCTGAATGCGCGCGCAGCTCCTGCGTATTCAGCCGAAGAGGAGGATCGGAGGAGGAGGAGAGCTCCCCGCCCGGCGCTGGAGAAAGAGGTAAGTTTAACCCCTTTCCTCTCCCCAGAGCCCGGCGGGAGGGGGTCCCTGAGGGTGGGGGCACCGTCGTGGCACTATAGTGCCAGGAAAACGAGTATGTTTGTTTGTTTTCCTGGCACTATAGTGGTCCTTTAAGCTTCTGGCAAAGATCTCTAATGAGACAGAGAGGAGTATTTTTATTTTTTATTTTATTTTTTTATGTATATACACACCACAATATAATTATTAACCCTTAATAGGGAACACATGGGATGGGCAGCAGCATTGTAACAAAGCTGTGTGATACAAAAAGTTAAAACCAAAAGAAAAGTCCTGCACTCACTCCATCACTCCTGGGCGCCAGCAACGTACACCTCAGCTGCAATACATACAGTAAAAACAAAAAAAGTTACCTGCTCTGTATATTCAAACAATTGGAGGTAATTTAGTTACTCCAATGGCCATTGGAAGGAATGCCCACCTGCCTTTTTGTATCGCACAGCTTTTACAATCTTGTCCCTGATATCCCTGGATCGCTGTTTGGTCTCGGCCATGGTGGAGAGTTTGGAATCAGATTGCTTCTGTGGACAGGTGTCTTTTATACAGGTAACGAGCTGAGATTAGGAGCACTCCCTTTAAGAGACACCTGGGAGCCAGAAATCTTGCCGACTGATGGGGGATCAAATCCTTATTTCACTCATTGACCTGCAAATCAATTTAACTTTTTTGACAAGCGTTTTTTCTGGAGATAGATATAGATCTATATTCAAGTAGAGATTGTAGCCGTATTAGTCCAGTGATGTAGATGTAAAAAAAAAAACTGATAAGATTTGTATCTTGTAATACCTTTTTTAATGACCAGCTTTCGGGAGAACCTCCCTTTCTCAAGTCTGAAGCATTTCTGAGCAAGACGACACATAGAATTCAAAGTTGAGTTGTGATACGAATTTTATCTTTTTTTTTTTTTTCATATAATTTTTATTTCCTTTTTTTTTTATTTTTGTGTATATATAATTTTTGTGTTGTTCTGTCTCTCACTGTTAAAATACACCTACCATTAAAATTATAGACTGATCATTTCTTTGTCAGTGGACCAACGTTCAAAATCAGCAGGGGATCAAATATTTTTTCCCTCACTGTACCTAGGGTTAATTTTTATTTATATATATATATATATATATATATATATATATATATATATATATATATATATATATATTATAATTTTTATTTTTTTTATTTTTTTTTTGATCTAAAAATTAACAAACAAAAATAAATGGGTATAGAGAAATGTAAAATTTCATGTCAGATTTATGAACACTTAAATTAATACATATACAAAGTGCTTCACCTTGCTGTGTGAATCAGATTTTCTTCTGCTTCCGTTGGCTCCACCGAGCAACTAGAAGGGCAGGTTCAGTGCATTACAGCATGCTTCCTTTCTCTCTCCCCCTTTGCAATGAGCTATATGACAGCTCATTGAGAAGCATTGGAAAGCTTCTGAGTGAGACGCCTTTGGTGTATTGCCTGGCATAGACTAACATCTGTGCATAGGAAAGGTATGGGGGCTTGCAAAGGCTGCAGACAGGAGCTCTGCAATTTTTGCAAGTCCCCTCCACCCCCCCCATATTTGAATTTTTATTGGGTTGTCACAGTGCAGAACATAAGAACAATGGCAGATACCAGAGCAGGAAGACCCCACCATAGAATTACAGTGGTGTACATTCTTGTTCATCATCACAAGATCACAAATATGTACATGTATTATTCGAGACTTACACATTTGCCTCATTAAAGGACCACTATAGTGCCAGGAAAACATACTCGTTTTCCTGGCACTATAGTGCCCTGAGGGTGCCCCCACCCTCAGGGACCCCCTCCCGCCTGGCTCTGGAAGGGGGAAAGGGGTAAAAACTTACCTTTTTTCCAGCGCTGGGCGGAGAGCTCTCCTCCTCCGATCCTCCTCTTCTCCTCCCCGTCGGCTGAATGCGCACGCGCGGCAAGAGCTGCGCGCGCATTCAGCCGGTCACATAGGACAGCATTCATAATGCTTTCCTATGGACGCTGGCGTGCTCTCACTGTGACAATCACAGTGAGAAGCACGCAAGCGCCTCTAGCGGCTGTCAATGAGACAGCCGTTAGAGGAAATAGGGGAAGGCTTAACCCATTCATAAACATAGCAGTTTCTCTGAAACTGCTATGTTTATGAAAAAATGGGTTAACCCTAGCTGGACCTGGCACCCAGACCACTTCATTAAGCTGAAGTGGTCTGGGTGCCTAGAGTGTTCCTTTTAATAGTCAGAATTGCTGCAGTGATGTAAAAAATGCATGCATTTATTTTTTGGTTGGTTGGGGGTGGGGGGGAAAGGGGGAGTTGGGGGATATCTATTAAATTTTATGAAATAAAAAACGTCAGTGGAATGTTAATGTCTGGCCATGACCTGTTTACAATAAAACAGAATTACAATTCTACCATTCCTATGTTTTACAATGCAACCTGTATCATTCTCAAATCATTAAAAAATGGGCCTGCTGCCTTATGTGAAGCACTCATGTTTCAGCAATCACATTCCTGCCGAAGAGGAGAAACTTCAATGACCATTGAAAGCTTAGCACTATCATCACCTCAAAGGACTTGACATAACTAACACTCCAAAATATTTCTAAGTGTTAAGTGCATTAACAAAACAAACACCTCTCCTGACTTAATGTTGACAAACCATTCCATGAAGGACAAATAAGTACTGTAACAAAAATAACCTAAATACCAATGTGATTAATAACTGAAATGTGCATTTAGAGGCATCTTAATGATACACAAACATTGCAATTTCCATACGGAACATAATTGGAGAATGGATGTAACTTTCAACCTGTGATGTAATTGAAATCCTTTTGAAGGCAAAAAATGTATGTGGTTGTTAACCTTGATCTATGATCTATTAACATTGATCTCTCTATATATCACTAGCCCATTGTGAGATTAAATGGACATCATAGGCACCCAAGCGACTTCATCTCAATGAAATGACCGAGGTGCCATATTCATGTAGTTTTAACCCTGCAACTGAAAACATTGACATTCTGCAGAACAGCATTGTTTACTGGCTTTAACAGCCACTAGAGGCACTTCCTTTTAATAGCCGAGTGATTGGTGCAGGGATAAAAATTAAGTAGACTAACGTTTGTGATGCTTACTGAATGGGGAGGGCAGACATCAAGCAGAACTCTGTAATGCCCAGTGCAGGGTCGGCTTATTGGCTGAGATTGTTAGCTGATCACTCTCAGCCAATGAGCTAAGAACTGTGCTGCCAGGATTAGCTCAGACAGAGAGTTTCTGTCTCTCTGACTGAAGTAGTGGAGGTGTGGAGTGACGCCTGTTGCACCCCATGTAAGAAGTCAAACTGTGGCACCATAATCCCTACCGCACGCTTGGAGTGTTCCTTTAGACATGTGCCTGAAAGCTTTGGTACCTGCTTTAGACTAAAATTTAAGAAAATTTATAAACTTTATTTTTTATTTTATTTTTTTTAAAATAAATTTTACCCAAATGGGTAAAAAGAGATCTATTCTTTTGTGTGTAATTTAAAGGACCACTATGGGCACCCAGACCACTTCAGCTTAATGAAGTGGTCTGGGTGCCTGGTCCAGCTAGGTTTAACCCTTTTTTCGGTAAACATAGCAGCAGTTTCAGAGAAACTGCTATGTTTGCAATAGGGTTAATCCAGCCTGTAGTGGCTGTCTCATTGAGAGCCGCTAGAGGCGCGTCCGCGGTTCTCACTGTGATTTTTCACAGTGAGAAGACACCAACGTCCATAGGAAAGCAATTAGAATGCTTTCCTATGGACTGGCTGAATGCACGCGCAAATCTTGCTGCGCATGCAGCCGGTGACGGAAGAAGGAGGATTAACCCCTTCCTCTCCCCTCAGCGCCACGGGCGTGGGACCCTGAGGGTGGGGGCGCCCTCAGGGCACTATAGTGCCTGGAAAACAAGTGTTTTTTCCTGGCAATATAGTGGTCCTTTAAGAAAGACAAGTAGTTCTGTAAATTGACATTTTAATTTTAGCAAGGATATAACAACACATTGGCTTACTTTTGGTTTACCTGGTTTTTTTTTTTTTGTTTTTTTTTTTGTGTGCAAGTTTTGTGTTCTTTGTGTGCCATCTAGAGTATACATTGGGAAATGCAGTTTGTTAATTTGACCTAGCATTTATACTGGATTAGTAGTATTGGCCTGTAGTAAACATTTTAGTCTTCATTATTTGAAACAAGATCCCATCAGTGACGGATGCTTTCAGCTTTCTTAATGGGACAGTTAGCAATAAGTCACAATGTTGGCAAAGTGCATAGGATGCTACTATATTACACTTCTAACACTCGTTCAGCAATAATGCAAACCTGTAAACAATGTGGTGTGTGTTTTGTTTTTTTTTGTTTGTTTTTTTTTTCGTTTCTCTTTTAGAAGTCATTTTAAAATGATGCATTCAGCAGATTAATTTATTTTTGCAAATTTTGTTTTGCAGCAACTAATAGTCATGAAGAGTTCAGATGCTTTTCATGTGATGGCTAATGCACACAATCAATCATAGGATTACAAAATGGCAGTGCGAATTTTGGCCATTGTAGTTTAGAGAAAATGTTCATATAAAGTTTCAAATAGTATAATGTAGTGCTTTTGCATAGGTGACCCTTTTTCTCTGGTAATGTAAAAAAAATGTTTTTGTTTCTCCTGGTGAAACCTTGGAGTAAAGTGGAAATGACACTTCTCTGGAATATACACCATTTAGCCCCTTAAGGACTGAGCCAAATGTAACAAAACATTGTGAACAAAACGTAAACAAAAACTTGAATTTGCGCTATGTCTGTTCAGGCGTAATTCGCCTCTCTCATATTATGTGCACCCACACTTATTATAAATCGTTTTACTCTGGGGGAAACAGGGCTTTCATTTAACATCAAATATTTAGGTATAAAACATAATTTAATCTGAATAAAATTAAAAAGTGGGAGAAGATTTTTAGTTCTACGTGACATTCTAACTGTGAATGTCATAATAGTTTGCTTTTACTGCAATAAAATACACATATTTGGATTCAGTGATGTCTCACGTGTAAAACAGTGCCCCCGAAGTACAGGTTTTATGGTGTTTTGGGAAGTTAGAGGGTCAAATATAGCATGTTACAAATTTCAGTTTTTTCACATTGAAATTCGCCAGATTGGTTATGTTGCCTTTGAGACCGTATAGTAGCCCAGGAATGAGAAATACCCCATGATGGCATACGATTTGCAAAAGTAGACAACTCAAGGTATTGCAAATGGGGTATGTCCAGTCGTAACCAATCTGGCGAATTTCAACGTGAAAAAAACTGAAACGCAATCTTTATATTTGACTCTGTAACTTTTGAAAACTCCATAAAACCTGTACATGAGGGATACTGTAATACTCGGGAGACTTCGCTGAATACAAATATTAGTGTTTCAAAACAGTAAAACTTATTTCAACAATCAGTGAAAGTACAATTTGTGTGTGAAAAATGCAAAAAAAGTCACTTTCATTGACGATATCATCGTTGTAATACATTTTACTGTTTTGAAACACTAATATTTGTGTTCAGCGAAGTCTCTCGAGTAAAACAGTACACCCCATGTACAGGTTTTATGGTGTCTTGGAAAGTTGCAGGGTTAAATATAGTGCTAGCAAATTAAATTCCCTGGACTTACTGCCTGGGTTGTCAGGCAGGTCCCGCAAATTGTAATGAATAAAATGACCTAATTATGTAAAATTATTACATAAATATATGTAGAATTATAATAATTAAAAAAAATATATATTTTTTTTTTTAACCCCTTGAGGACCGATGACGGTCCTGAACCGTCATAACGGTCTTTGGGTACTTATCTGATCGCCGTCGTTCCCCCAGCGGCGATCAGCGTTTCTTCCGCGCTGGGGGGGACTGCCTGTCTGCCCAGACAGTCTCCCCGCAGCAAATTAGGACCTGTGCTGTGTATCTGCTTGCAGGGGGACTGTCTGTGCTGACAGGCAGTCTCCCTGCAAGTGGAAAATCAGAAATAAAGTTAAAAAAAGTGTTTAAAAAAAAAAAAATAATAATTCTGTCTCGCTCTCGTGTGTGTGTGTGTGTATATATACTTTTAAATTTCATGTGTGTATATGTAATAAACGTTTAACTCGCAAGTTGGAATAAACTTGGAATTAATAATAACATTAATAACTTAAAAACCGAGTGTAAAGTCAGAGTCCACACTCCTTGCTTTTGGCAATTCAATAATATTTATTAATAAAGGCTTAATCAAACAAATAAACAATACATATACATTTGAAATAGGCTAGTATATGTTGCTACTAAAACTAATCATTGACTGAATGGAAAGTAGGCTAAATTAACATAGTAAAACAGGCATAGACACGTGATACAGTTACCACTCCATCGATCAGCAGCTGAGAGTAAGAGAGAGAGGGTGTGTATAGTGGGGAGAGGGGAGAGAGGAGAGAAGGTGAAGAGAGGTAATTCAAAGAGAGAGAGAATGTGCTATTCACAGGGCTTTAAACAGGTTAGTCCCTCCTTCTGCTGGACACACCTCCCTTAGTCAATCCCTTAGGATGTAACAGAACCAGAGTGCCTCCTGGGGGAAGGGGTATTGCATTGGAAGGGAATGGAGGAGGAGTTTATCAACAACCCAACTGATTTTGCCTGGTGAAAGGCCATGTGCTTCACATAGGACTCCATTATTGCCTAAGGGTAGAATGGCGGCTTGAATCCCTGTATTAGAACACAATAACACTTCATTGGCATACAGTTTGGCTGGTAATCACATCCCCCCACTTATTACAGTATATAATAAATATATATATCAAAATACACTTAGAATGAAATGAGATATGTCTCTGTCCATGTCCATATACATTATATAAATAATTTCATAAATATATACGTAGACTTCAAATATATAAATATGTATATACATTTAAATTCTACGTGCATATTTTATGTAATATTTTTACATAATTAAGTAATTTTCTTGATTGCAATGTGGGGGACCTGCCTGACAACCCAGACAGAAAGTCCAGAGAATTTAATTTGCTAGCACTGTGTTTAACCCTGTAACTTTCTATGACGCCCTAAAACCTGTACATGGGGGGTACTGTTATACTCGGGAGACTTCGCTGAACACAAATATTAGTCTTTCAAAACCGTAAAATAAATCACAGCGATGAGAAAATTACTTTTTTTGCATTTATCACACACAAATGGCACTTTCACTGATATTATTGCTGTGATACGTTTTACTGTTCTGAAACACTAATATTTGTGTTCAGCAAATTCTGTGTTTAGCAAAATGTGGGGTAACAGTACCCCACATGTAGAGGTTTTATAGTGGTCTTTGAAAGTTATAAGGTTTGATTTTACTCCCATGATGGCATACCATTTGCAAAAGAAGACAACCCAAGGTATTGCAAATGGGGTATGTTCAGCCTTTTTTAGTAGCCACTTAGTCACAAACACTGGCCAAAGATAGCGTTTTTTGCATTTTTAACACAAAAACAAATCTAAATGCTAACTTTGGCCAGTGTTTGTGACTAAGTGGCTACTAAAAAGACTGGACATACCCCATATTGAATACCCTGGGTTGTCTACCTTAAAAAAAATAAAAAAAAAAATGTACATGTGAGGTGTGATTCGGAGATTTATGACAGATAAGTGTTACAATGTCACTATTGATAAATTAATTTATTATTTATATATATATATATATATATATATATATATATATATATATATATATATATATATATATATATATATATATATATATATATATTTATTTATTTTCTCAATTTCTTACTTGTACTTATAGCCCTATAACTTGCAAAAAAGCATGTAAACAGCTTAGTTTTTAAACTAAGGACATTTTTGAATCTATTCAGCAGTTTTTTTCCATTAGCTTTTTGTAGATAAGTAAAAGATTTTTCAAGTAAAAGTCCAAAAACATTAATTTATTTTTATTTTTTTTTATTTTTTTTTTCATCATATTTTTATTTATTTTTTTTAAAGTAAAATATGACATGATACAAATAATGGTTTATAAAGAAAGCCCTTCTTGTCCTGAAAAAACCCATAACTTGTATGGGAACAGTAAATGAGAGAGTGGAAAATTACACACAAACACCACAAAAGTGTTAAAACTGCTCTGGTCCTTAAAGGACCACTATAGTGCCAGGAAAACATACTCGTTTTCCTGGCACTATAGTGCCCTGAGGGTGCCCCCACCCTCAGGGACCCCCTCCCGCCCGGCTCTGGAAGGGGAAAAGGGGTAAAAACTTACCTTTTTCCAGCGCTGGGCGGAGAGCTCTCCTCCTCCGGTCAGTATAGGGTGCCGCGCCCGACTGAATGCGCTTGCAGCGGCAAGAGCTGCAGCGGCGCATTCAGCGGTCTCATAAAGACTTATTTACAATGCTTTCCCTGCGTTATGGCGTGCTCTCACTGTGATTTTCACAGTGAGAAGCACGCAAGCGCCTCTAGTGGCTGTCAATGAGACAGCCACTAGAGGATTAGGGGGAAGGCTTAACCCATTCATAATTATAGCAGTTTCTCTGAAACTATGTTTATGAAAAAATGGGTTAACCCTAGCTGGACCTGGCACCCAGACCACTTCATTAAGCTGAAGTGATCTGGGTGCCTAGAGTGGTCCTTTAACGTACAACATGGCCAAAATAGGCCTGTTCTTAAAGGAACACTATAGTCACCTAAATTACTTTAGCTAAATAAAGCAGTTTTAGTGTATAGATCATTCCCCTGCAATTTCACTGCTCAATTCACTGTCATTTAGGAGTTAAATCACTTTGTTTCTGTTTATGCAGCCCTAGCCACACCTCCCTTGGCTATGATTGACAGAGCCTGCATGAAAAAAAAAAAACTGGTTTCACTTTCAAACAGATGTAATTTACCTTAAATAATTGTATCTCTGTAAATTGAACTTTAATCACATACAGGAGCTCTTGCAGGGTCTAGCAAGCTATTAACATAGCAGGGGATAAGAAAATCTTAATGAAACAGAACTTGCAAAAAAGAGAGCCTAAATAGGGCTCTCTTTACAGGAAGTGTTTATAGAAGGCTGTGCAAGTCACATGCAGGGAGGTGTGACTAGGGTTCATAAATAAAGGGATTTAACTCCTAAATGGCAGAGGATTGAGCAGTGAGGCTGCAGGGGCATGTTCTATACACCAAAACTGCTTCATTAAGCTAAAGTTGTTCAGGTGACTATAGTGTCCCTTTAGTATTAAAAGTCAGGGGAAATGACCGTTCCTCCTTTAAAAGCTTTTCTATGGGGGTGGGGCCAGACCAGCATGGTGGCAGGGCACATCTCGGAAGAGCTCCTCCATCAGCACGCTAAATGCGGCACTTTACAGCCCACTACTGCTCGATTTGAGCTAATCAACTCAATACCCCAGCTACCTGACTTGCCTACAAAGCGGGAAGGAGGCTAGCGACTTGAGGTAACGGTCCTGCTACCTCCATGGAAAAAGCTGCCTGGTGGGCGCCGGACTGGGGAAGCAGCCGGCAACCTGGCTGCCGACAAGAATGAACCTGTGTATCTGGCAAAGGTCTCTAATGAGTCAGAGAGGGGTTATTTTTTTTTTTATATACACCCCTATATACTTATAACCCCTTAATTGGGAAACACATGGGATGGGCAGCAGCAATGTAACATAGCTGTGTGATACAAAAGATAAGTCCTGCACTCACTCCTGTGTGGCAGCAACGACTACAGTACACATCAGCCCCAATACACTAAAATGGCGGACGCCACGTGGCCCCCAGGTCTTAACACGAACTCCGATGATACTCACCAGACAGGGCAAACTGTTCCTGGACTTCTGGTGGAGGCTTGAAAGTAGGGTGACCCTGCATGCCCCTACATAGCCAAATGATCCCTTATACCAGAGCCCATCACGAAAGCTTGCAGCTCCACATGGTGGAGGAAGGACCCCACACGACGACCGCACAAGCGGCATGCACAGCCTAAGCGACGGACGACCTGAAGGCCGCCCACGAGGATGCTGATACAAACTACAAAACTTCCACAGAGAGCAGCACTGCCTAAAGACCAGCTAGCAGCTACTGAGCTCCCGCACTGCCAACAGGCACCTGCTATGCATACCCTGAAGCATCTCACCAGGAAGTCTGCACACAGCCTACCACTTGAGGGCATCGGCTGAGTTGGGCCACATGATTGGACTTGTGGGACTCTTGTCTACCGTGCCTGCCTATAAGATATACTGGGACTGTCTTCAGGAGTTACTAACTACTGTTAGGAGCCTCATAAGGGGGACAAACTACACCGGACACACTCCACTGTCAAGATAGAAAGACCTAGCTTAACCCATGTTTAAAGGGACACTATAGTCACCAGTGCAACTACATGTATTCCTGACCCTATAGTGTTAACGCGACCATCTAGCCACCCTGGGCCCCTCATGCCTCCTGCTGTTAGACTCAGGAAAAACAAGCAGTCTGCTGACATGTGATAGCCTGATCCAATCACAGTGCTTCCCCATAGGATTGGCTGAGACTGACAAGGAGGCAGATCAGGGGCAGAGCCAGCATGATTCAAACACAGCCCTGGCCAATCAGCATCTCCTCATAGAGATGAATTGAATCAATGAATCTCTGAGGAAAGTTCAGTGTCTGCATGCAGTGGGAGGAGATACTGAATCACAGGATGCTTGTGCACAGCAGATCTGTGTGGATGGAGGCATATTATGAAGTCCCTCTGACTGCAACTGGAGGTGTTCCTAGCTTTCAATGTAAACACTGTATATTCTCAGAAAATACAGTGTTTATATGAGAGAGGCTGCAGGGAGCAATAGTTCTCACCTGAACAACCTCATTAAAGGACCACTCTAGGCACCCAGACCACTTCAGCTTAATGAAGTGGTCTGGGTGCCAGCTCCTTCTAGGGTTAACCCATTTTTTAATAAACATAGCTGTTTCAGAGAAACTGCTATGTTTATGAATGGGTTAAGCCTTCCCCCTAATACTCTAGTGGCTGTCTCATTGACAGCCACTAGAGGCGCTTGCGTGCTTCTCACTGTGATTTTCACAGTGAGAGCACGCCAGCGTCCATAGGAAAGCATTGAGAATGCTTTCCTATGTGACCGGCTGAATGCGCGCGCAGCTCTTGCCGCGCGTGCGCATTCAGCCGGCGGGGCGGAGAAGAGGAGGAGAGAAGGAGGAGAGCTCTCCGCCCAGCGCTGGAAAAAGGTAAGTTTTAACCCCTTTCCCCTTTCCAGAGCCGGGCGGGAGGGGGACCCTGAGGGTGGGGGCACCCTCAGGGCACTATAGTGCCAGGAAAACGAGTATGTTTTCCTGGCACTATAGTGGTCCTTTAAGCTGAAGTTGTTCAGGTGACTATAGTGTTTCTTTAATCTTCTAATTTTGCCAAATCCTTCCTTTCTTTTCAAATAATTTTTATTAAAGTTTTACAAACATTGTATTAGGGGAAGGAAAGGAAGGGGAACTTGGAAATGGGAAGGGGTATCCATCCATCATTGAAAAAGGCATAACAATGTATAAGCCCGTTCCTTCTATACGTAAAGCTGTTGACCCACGGACATACCAACCTAAGCTTGAGTATACTACAACAATAAGAATGTTATATGACCATTAAAGGACCACTATAGTGCCAGGAAAACAAACTTGTTTTCCTGGCACTATAGTGCCATGAGTGCGCCCCCACCCTCATGGCCCCCCTCCCGCCGAGCTGAAGTTGGAGGAGGGAGTTAAAATCTTACCTTTCTCCAGCGCCGGGCTCCCTCAGCGCTGGGGACTCTCTTCCTCCTTTGGACATCATCGGCTCAATGCGCATGTGCCGCACGCATTCAGTCCATAGGAAAGCATTCTCAATGCTTTCCTATGGACGCTGGCATCTTCTCACTGTGAGAAGCGCGGATGCGCCTCTAGCGGCTGTCAATGAGACAGCCACTAGAGGCTGGATTAACCCAAATGTAAACATAGCAGTTTCTCTGAAACTGCCATGTTTATAGCAGGCAGGATTAACCCTAGAGGGACCTGGCACCCAGACCACTTCATTGAGCTGAAGTGGTCTGGGTGCCTATAGAGGTCCTTTAACCCGCGCAGATATCCTTAGTTCACTTTGCAACGGTTTGTTTATGCATGTCATACCTGTTTTATTATTAATTTTAAAATGTGCAGACTCCTATAAATGCCTAAAATGTTGAACCTTGTCTCACTTGCATATACTATTGGGGCATTGCAAGCATGTATTGTATATCTATGTACAAAAAAAATGCTTTTTAATGAGACGCATTGGATCAGGAAAAAGTCATTCGATCCTATTAATTTTAAGAGTAGTGGTTGCAGTGAGGGCTGTCCCAGCATTGGATTACTCATGAGTTTTGATGTGTGCATGGCACTCACCACACATGTGCATCAGGTCCTCAATGCTCCTCTCTGAGCGTACATGTAGGAGAGGTAAATGGTGTCGGATGACTAACTAGGGGGGACTTGTATAGATAGACAGGAACACTAAGGCGCTAGTGACAGTGTACAGTATAGAAAAGTTCTAAAGGAACACTAAAGAATTAAAGGACCACTCTAGGCACCCAGACCACTTCAGCTTAATGAAGTGGTCTAGGTGCCAGGTCCCTCTAGGATTACCCTTTTTAATTTTTTTTATAAACATAGCAGTTTCAAAGAAACTGCTATGTTTATAAATGGGTTAATCCAGCCTCCAAAGCCTCTAGTGGCTGTCTCATTGACTGCCGCTAGAAGCGTTTGCGTGCTTCTCACTGTGAAAATCAGTGAGAAGACGCCAGAGTCCATAGGAAAGCATTGTGAATGCTTTCCTATGGACTGGCTGAATGTGCGTGCGGCTCCTGCTGCGCATTCAGCCGAAGAGGAGGAGGAGTGGACGAGTAGAGCTCCCCGCCCGGCGCTGGAGAAAGAGGTAAGTTTAATCCCTTCCTTTCCATCCAGCCTGGCGGGAGGGGGACCCTGAGGGTGGGGGCACCTTCATGGCACTATAGTGCCAGGAAAACGAGTATGTTTTCCTGGCACTATAGTGGTCCTTTAAATACAAATCTGTATTCCTATCTCCTGCTGAGACCAAACACCGGGTAATGCATGCTAAAGGTGAGCTTGTTTTTACCATCAAAGTGTGGTTGCTATGGTGGCCACTTACACAGCATGCGTTCCTGTGTCTAATATGCGGGTGGTGGGTGTCTTTGAGCACAAATGTTATTAAAGTTCAGTAAGTTGGGTTTTTTTTGTTTTTTTTTCTTTGTTACAGTTCACAGATGGCTGATATTGTGTTGTTTTTTTTTTTTTAGGTATTCGGTTTGTTGGTTTGGGCACTAATAGCTGGGTCTGAATATTTTCACTTCCCTGCTTTTGGCTGGGTGATGTTCGTAGCTGTATTTTACTGGGTGCTCTCAGTCTTCTTTTTAATAATTTACATTACAAGGGCATACACAAGAATACCAAAAGTACCCTGGACGCTAATTGTAAGTAATTGTTTTATTTTTACGTTTTTGTTTTTTGTTTGGTTGTTTTTTTGTTTTTTTTCATGGTTTAAATTTTTTTTTTTTTTTTATATTGTGGACGTGTAAAAGAACTTCTAGATTATCTTTAGCAAAGTTTTAGTTAAACTATATGGGTATTTTAAAGGTTACACAGATAAAGGCTGAAAACACGTTTAAATAAATGTGAGATTAACTGATTGTAGCCATGATCATTCATATGCAAACCAGAGACCCATTATATGGTCTCAAAGTAAAGAAGGTATGAATAGAACTCCGATATCATTCTAGCACTCATTTTATGAAAGCAAAACATTTTGTAACGTAATCAGCATAGGAAGTTATCCAGAATTGGTCAGATGAAGGCATACGTTTCCTTTTAAGCATTTTACCATATTTAAATGTGTTTACTTTCTAGTTGCTATTGGATGTTATCAAGGTATATCTGTATTTCTAGACATACCTTAGTCCTTTATTGATAGAAGATAGAAACCTCCAAACTAACAAAATACTCAGGAAATCCCAAAATATCCATGTGTAAAAACTGGTTTGTTTTGCTTTAGTTGTTTTGGAGTTTAGATTCTCCCAAGATATACCAATCCAATAATGCAGGATAAATATCCTTTTAGCAGGCAGTAAACAATGGACCTCAACCTTGTGTTTTTGTATTTTTTTTTTTTTAAGGCATTTATTGTGAGCTCTTTTATTGAGATTGGTGAACGATAGAGGCATTTATGCACTCTTATGTGAGTTTGGATAATGCACTGAGAACTTTATTATAATATGCGCTCCACTCATTTGGATTAATTTTCATCACACCTCCTCGGACCTGTAAGTCCCACAAGTTATATGAAGAGGCTATCCTATGGGCCACCACACAGCCCGGCTCCTTTAAATGTGCTACACCGATGGGACGCAGATCCCAAAAGCCTCTAGCTCTTGCTCATGCCGAGATCAGAGATATTGGCATCCTTTCCAGGGCCATATGCAAAACATAGACGACTATGAAGGCCCTAAAACTGTACCTTGCATACTACCACTAACCTATGTGATCCTTCTTCACCGTCCTCCACTATAGCGACCTTGTCTAATACCTAAAGCGCCTCTGGAGGGACCATGCAGGATATCTAGAACCTACTGAAGCTGTTGGTGGTAGACCTAGTAGTCATGAAGGCTGATGCTAGACCGATTCAGAGAGTTAGCGCCTGCTAAGAAGCATATCCACAGACATCTGTCAAGCTATGTCTTCTACCATCCAACATCTCCTGACCACATTGCATATACTTGCCATGCAAGTGCAAAAGCAGGCACATACATACATGCGCACACAGACACACATACACAATGTTTATCACCCTCCTGTTTCCTACCTTTTAGGTGCAGGAGGGTGACTTTCCCTTGGGTCCAGTGCTGGCTCAGGTTGATGGGAGTCAGAGTTCCCACTCTGCTTCCTTCCACGCGGGCTCTGTGTGTTAGCTGGGAGGAGTGACGTGCAGTCACTTCCTCCCAGCGTGTGATTTCAGGGGGCCCGGTCGCGTTGTTAAAGCGCCCAGCGCTGACCGGGCCCCCTGACAGACAATCTCCATCGGGTGGCCTGAACAGCATGGGCTACCCGATGGACCCCTTGGACAGCGGCCCTGGCAGTTTGCCATGCGGGCCGGGGCTGCAAAAGATGGTGGCGGGTACATGCGACCCCTGTGACCACGGTATGTACGCCACTGATCTTAATACATTGTTTAACTCACCCTAATAACCAGTGTATCCCAATACTAACCCTAACTTCTATAATCCTAAACACCTACTCTAACTCTATATCCAATCATTCTAAATGGTTCATAATCCTGCAGTATTCCAAGTGTATTCCAGTATTGCGAGTGTAATCCTAGTTTCAAGAGAGCTGGCTTGTTTTTACACAGGGTGCCCAAAAAGGTGGGCAGAAACATATAATAAATAAATATAAATATATATATATATATATATATATATATATACTTTTTTTTCATTTATTAATTTTTTTTTATTTTTTTTTATTCATGACGTTTACAGATTTTTTTTTTATTTATTTATTTATTTTTTTTTTAAGTTCTCTTTTTGTACTTTTAGCATGGTTCTCTAGTCAGTGCCCCCAGCTACAGTATTTTAAGCAGACCCATATCAATAAAGTCTCATGTAGACTATTTGAGTTTTGAGACTGAGAAATGTCTGTGAATTTATGCAAATTTAAATCCAATTTAAACTGTCGTAACAGGATGTCAAAGTCTATATACAGTTTAGATTTGCATGTCACCTACACTCGTTCTTTTTAATCTCAGTTGGAGAGTCTTTTCATATTTTTAACAAATTTAGATTTAGGCATTTAAAGTCCCTGTTTTAGTACAAACTGATATTGCTAAAAATTTTGTTTCAAAGTTGGTTTGGTTGTTTTGTGTTAGTTTTTAGAAAGTGTAGCTCAGTTGTGGCTTTTTTTTTTTTTTCTTGGTTTTTTTTTAAACCTCAAAATATTTAGGGTGTGTAAACCTCAAAGGGCACCTGTCATGCCCAAAACTACATTAGCTCTTTCTTAAAGAACATAAGTTGATATTTACACCGCACTAGCACTTTTTCTAGTAAATATATAGATTGGGACAAAATCGATTTTAAAAAAGGATTTTTCTCCCACCTGTCAAACTATTCTTTGGTATAGACTCTATGCAGAGGAATTGATTATTAAAGGAGAGCAGAAGTGACCTCCCACAAGCAGTTCTTCTGCTTTCCACCCATAGCAACCACAGCACCTGCCCTGTGACTGACTGCTATGGTAACATGTTGGCATCATGAAGAGATTTGCCCTGCTTGGGGACACTTCCAAAACAGGGCAAATCAGTGAAGTAGCTGGGTGGACCAGAGGAAGGTCCCATCTCTTAAATGAGATTGCAGTGGTGACTGGTTACCTTTTTAATGTGTATTTAACTGTTGGATCAGTTATTGTTTTAGTTGGTTTATACAGGTTAATAACAGACTGTAATGTAAAGAAATTTTAAAGTGGCATTTTCATTTTCATGGTGTCAGCAACATATGACCATGGGTATGTAGGTGCTATGCCCACATGTATTGAGATGGTGGTTGGGAAGGGAAATGTACTGATATGATTGTATCTCTTCTTGATGCTGCCACCCTCCCACCGCAATCTTTCTTAAACTCCCGGGATTTTCGTGTTTTGGAAGCCTTGTTATGTGAGCCCTCGTTCACATTCATAAAAGTGCAATGCTGGGTCTATGGAAAATCCCGCAAGATGCGGAATGTTCCTTGGATAATCTTGCACTTGTGCAATAAAGTAAGCATAGGCATATATTGCATATCACATGTGATCATGCTTATTTCCATCACCTGTTGATAGGGAAATGGCAGAATGTGAGGATAGTTACATGTTCTATCCTGAACATTGTTAATCTAAAAATGAAGGATAATATGCAGATTAATTCACTGTTTTTATACCATAATTCTGCTACAATTTATAAGGTTTGGAATCTTTGGCTTGAATATGCTCACAAGGCAAATTATGGGGTTATTTGTGTGGAGGACACTGCTGTTGATGTTTTTTTTAGGGAGGCTGCATGTTGGGTTTTGTGCATAGAGGGAGTCTGGTTGTGTGGATTGGGCTGTATGTAGTATATGTACAGAGAGTGCTGTTTGTGATGTGGTATGTGAATTTGTGTGATAGGGGGTGTATTATGGGTGGGGAACTAGAAGCTTTTGAGCATACTAGGACTGTAATATGTGTGTGGATAATAGGGGCTTTACTCTGTGTAACTGATATAAAGACTGCTGTATGTATGTGTGTGAGGTGGATAGGGACTGTAGTGTGTGTGTGTGTGTATACAGATGGCGACTGTAGTGTTTGCAGATGGGTCTTCACAGATCCATAGGTATGCCCCTTCTCGGTCTCTCCGCTATGCCCGTGACCACCTACTGTCCGCTGCTCGCGTTTGCAGGACTTCCCGCGGGTGGTTTTCAATTGTTTAAGAAGTGCCTTAAAACCGATCTCTTTAGGAAATTGCCTCCCAGAGTGACCTCTACCTCACATACCTGTCTCTTGCTCTGCTTCACTCCCACCTTATTTGATTGATATTTCCTGTCCTAATGTGTTTTATACACCAACTCCTATAGACTGTAAGCTCGTTTGAGCAGGGTCCTCTTTAACCTATCGTTCCTGTACATTTTTATTTTTTATTTTTAGTGTGTAATTGTCCTATTTCTAGTTAAATCCCCTCTCTCGTAATATTGTAAAACGCTACGGCATCTGTTACCAGGGCTGTAGTGGGTGCAGGGGAGCACTGGGGCAGTAGTATGGGCAGGACAGGGACTGAAGTGAGTGCAGGGATTATAGTGGCATGAATAAAATATATATTTTTCTTTTTCTTTTTTTTTCTTTTTTAAGTAGTCATCAAAAATTTACATTCTCTGATGCACTTGTGGGAGACTTTGGCCGGTTGGTGAGGGAGATGCATCAAAGCTCCTTGTTTGTGCCTGCAGGGGCTTTCCTTTCAACTCCCTTGTCTGCTAAATAGTAACTTATTTTCATAAGACTTGAAGAGACACTAGTCACAAAAACTACAACTCAATGTAGTGGTTTGCAGGGAATGATTATACTCACCAAAACCTTTTTTATGTAAACACTGCCTTTTCATAGAAAAGGCAATGTTACATTTCCCTTCAGAGGCCACTCCTAAAATGGCCAATGGAGGTGCTTCCTGGGGCAGTGCTGCACAGTGCCGTTCAGAGTCTACACCCTCTGCATGGAGACGCTGAATCTTTCTCATAGACCTGCATTGATTCAATGCATCTCCATGAGGAGATGCTGATTGGCCAAGTTGACTTTTGGCTGCGCCCTGTCCCACTTCCTTGCCGATTTCAGCTAATCCAATGCTTCCCATCATTGGATTGGCTGAAATCATAAATTCTGATGCCCGCAAGGAGGCAGATCGGGGGTGGGGCCAGAGCCGGCAAACCTGCACGATGCTGGAAACACAATAAGTTTTTTTTGTTTTTTTTTATTACCTATTAAGGGTGGCAAGCTACCTAAATGGTGGTTTTGACACTATTTGGTCAGGAATACATGTTTGTGTTCCGGAGCCTATAGTGTTCCTTTAAGGACCTCAACGGGTTTTGAAAGGAGGATGGTCCAGGGAAACAGAGGAAGAGGTTGTGAAAGAACATATTCACACAAGAGGTGTACCTTTCATGCCACATAAATGCCAATTTAGGACAGAGGGAGTACATCTCATGTCATGAAGTGTGACAGCGACACACACGCTTAATAACCTGTTCCTGTAAGTTTACACACACAGACGCCTTAGTGGTATATTACCACATATATAACTAGCCCTCCCTTGTAACATCACACCAAGCTCATTTTCACATTTCATTACATTTGGAAAGTGCTGCCAGTCGAGTGCAGCAAAATAAAAACAGAAATGTGAAGCACAAACCTCAAGTTCAATGGTCTTTTATTTAATGCTAAAAGAAAGGCCTTTATTAAACCTTGTGTGGTCGAAATGTCACCTTCCTCTTGGCACCTTGAGTTTTGTTCTGGACATTTCTGTTTTGCATTACTAGTGGCTGTGGGTGGAACCAGAACCTGTGCGCCATATTTGCCCATTGTTAATTGTTGTGATTCATTTAGTCAAGAATGGAGGTAAGAGAGGAATACTGAAAGGAACCCAAACCCTTTAAACATGACCCCTACAAACAAGTGGATTTGAAATGTTTCAAGTCTCTGGTAGTTGCGGAACGTATGTTAACTTGAAGGGCACAACTATGCAGTTGAAAATATCTTTGTCAATGGGTATTAATGGGGCTCAGAAACTCAAAAGAAATAATGAATACAACATGGGGGGTAGGGACTACACTCAGCCAAAAGTCATGATTGGTGTATACAGTCAAGGAGATTCATTCTGTGCCCGGGCTACTTTCGAGGTTTTTTTTTGTTTTTTTTTTAAATCCCCTCTCTCATAATATTGTAAAACGCTACGGCATCTGTTACCAGGGCTGTAGTGGGTGCAGGGGAGCACAGGGGCAGTAGTATGGGCAGGACAGGGACTGAAGTGAGTCCTCCTCCAGCTGAGCAAAACCAGACTTGGATAGTCCAGGTGGAAAATCTCGATTGGGTCCACAGTAGAGTGAGCAGGGGAGTGATTATGTAATACGTGTAGTGAGGGAAAGAGTGTACTTTGAGTATCCTTAATAGATGTTCTAGTTTGAGTGGAGGATTTGCTGCTGAGGGAGCGCGCAAGAGGCATATTCAAAAACTTGAAGGTCCTGTTAAGTGTAGAGAAAGTCCTGATAAGTCTAAGGTGAGGGGTTACATTTGTGCTTAAATTCCAGCTCGAGATAGATACTGAAAGGATGCTAGCCATTTTTATTTTTTAAAAGTATATATGTTTTGATAAAGGAGCCTTGCAAAACCTCATGATGGGCAGCCCATATACTAGGTGAAGGCATCTCTGATGTGGAAATCTCCACAAAATCATTAGTAATATTAGAACATATCAATTCAAAAAGTTCATAATTTATAAAAGTAGAGAATTCAACCTCAAGGGCAATGAACTGAAATTAGCAGTATTGATCAACTGCAGTGTGATAGGGGCATGGTCCAAACTCAATATGGAGCCAATGTCGGGAGCAAAAAAACAAAAACAAAACTGAGCATAGTGTGGAGAGATGAAGGCATCAGTTTGAGAATAGGAATGGTGTGTGTGTGTGGGGGGGGGGGCAAATGGGAAAAATTCCTAACCAAGGGGTACTGTGCTTTCCAGACATAAAGCAAGTGGGAAAGCTATAGAAAATGAGCAAAAACATTACTGGTTTTTAGTAAATAATCTGCATATATTTTGTTAATATCAGGGTCAGCATTTTAGCTGTCTAATTTTGTTTTGTTTCTTTTCACTAGGGGCTGTGGTTTAATGGAAGTGCCTGTGTTTTATATCTCATCGCTGCTATTGTAGATGCAACCTCTGTTTCAGAAGATATTCATCGGAGGCACAACTACGACAGCTGGACCGCATCAGCAGTAAGTAGCGTTGCAACATGGATTACATTTATTTAAACAAAGTTAAAAGGTATCTCTCAACCACAGTTGAGTGAACAACTCATTTTTGAAGTGTTTCTGTAATATCTGCAGTATGAGTGAATTAAATTAAAAAAAATATATATTATTATTATTTTTAATACATAAACAAATCCTAACCACTACAACAAAAAGGGGATATGGTGCTTAGATCCTGTGGGTGAAATTAAAGGAACACTCTACCATAACTACTCCAGCCTGCTCTAGTGGTTATGCTGCCATGAGTTCACTGACCTCACCCCACCCTACACTGCCACAATGTTTTTAGCATGATTGGACACTTACCTTGGCTCATGTCAGGCATCCTTACTGCTTCTAGTCTTCTCACACTGTAGAAGCCATGTATTTATGCCAATGAATAATTTCCTGTCTTGCACAGAGTGTCAGCTGAGCAACTTTAAACAATGAGTAAATTCCTATCTTGCACAAAATTGTCACCCAGCTTCTATAAAGCAAGAAAAATCTAAGCAGTGCAGGCACCTGGTGTGACCCATGCCAAAATGGTTAGACAGATTACAATGGGACCGCGCAATAAATACTACAGCAGGCTGTTGTGTTTATAGTTCTTGGAGTGACCCTTTAAGGACCAATATCAAGGAGATTCCCTCTGGCAGAGAAGACCGAACAAGATTTTTTTTTTTTTTTTCTTTCTTTGCTGAGAAATAGATTGCACATATATTCACACTACACGTTTCTCATTGCACACCATCCCCTAGTTGGACTACAACTGGAACTATAATTCATATTTCCCCATTTTGTTTGTTGTGTAGCTTTTTTTACCCACAACATTTTAAAAATTAGAGAGTTTCTCCAAGCACTATGACCACTTCAGTGACTTGGCCATGGTGCCTGGAGTCTGTGTGTGCAGCGTTTCGCTATGAAATGCTGAATGTAGAGAGTTTAACCTTACTGCTGCTGGAGTTGTCATTAGCCAGTACCAGCCTGGAATTAGAATTCCTGAATGCAGAGAGTTGCATTCATTGTCTAGGAATGGTAGTCTGAATAAATGGTGGCTGCGTTGGCTTCCAGCTAGTCAGCGGCAGGAGAGGATACCTGGAGCTCGGCAGGGGCTCATGTAAGTGGGCACCAGGTTACTAAACTGTTTCCTCATAACCAGGAAACCAGTCTGGGCTCTAGTGGTTATGATGCCTTTTATTGTTGTTTTTTACTTTTGTGTTTAATAAAAATATTAACTTCCTTAAAAGTGTAAGGTATGTTACATAAAACTGACTGTAGGAATCACATTAAAATCCATTGCAAGGCTCCGTGTACATTTTCACATTTTAATTTTTTATGCCTATATCTCAATTCATGATCCATAGTTATCTAATTGTATCTAATATATATTATTATTTTTTTTATATAGTTTTTTGCCTTCCTGGTCACAGCCTGCTATGCTGGAAGCACATATTTTAGTTTCCAGTCTTGGAGAACGAGAAGCTAATACCAAGTCGAATAGAAACTGTTACAAATTCCATACACTGCACAACGCTTGAACAAGTTGCACCTTGAAACTTCACCTCTGTAATGTTTAGTGCTTTGATTTACATTGTGTTTATTAAGGGGACACTGTAGGTACTAAGTGCAATAGGGACTTCAGCTAACTGAAGTGGTCTGGGTGAGGTATCCCTATTGCACTTAGTGCTGCAATGTTAAACATTGCAGTTCCAGAGAACTGCAAAGCTTACAATGCAGCTCTAAGTCTGCCCTCAGTAGCTGTCTGCCACACAGCCACTGGGGGCGCTTCCAGAATTGAAACAGACCTTTGGTCCGTTATCTGACGCTGAACATCCTCGCGCTTTGCATGAGGATCTCCAATGTCAGATTTTTCAGATAGGAAAGTATTGATTCATTCTTTGCTATGGGGAAATCCTAATGTGAGCGCGGCCATTGTTGCGCATACACATTAGGTCTCCCTTGCTGGCTGACGTCGGCGGGGGAGAAGCATGGATGGAGCCTGACCCAGCTCCGAGCGACATCGGCACTGGATTCAGGTAAGTGGCTGAAGGGGTTTTAACTGCTTCAGCCATGTGTAGGGGGGAATTTGAGGGAGGGGGCTTCTGGAAACCTATAGTGCCAGGAAAACTACTTTATTTTTCTGGCACTATAGGATTCCTTTAATAAGCAGAAGACTGAAATGGATTGCGTAAAATATATTTGTAATGCCTGTTACTAAAAAAAAAGAGTGTATTTGTAGGATGAATGTCTGTGTTTTAATATTCACACTCTATTATATTATGTGAAAAATGTCTTAACTTTAAATTTATTATTGTGCCAAAAAAGAAAATAAACTAAACTATGTAATAAAAGTACTGGAAATAATATGCTTGCTTTGTTTTCCCCCTGTTATTTGTATGCACATTCTATATTCTCTGTTTGTGTGCGTTTACACAACAACACGTCTGTTTTTTTTTTTGGTTTTTTTTCCTTTTTTTTTCTTTATATAAGAAAGTCTAACAATATAGGGATTGGTTTGATTATAGTAGTTATTGGAGTCTGCTGATTTAAAAAAAAAATAAAAAAAAATAAAAAATGTAAAAGTTGGTAATGACTATTGAAACTACTATTTTAGAAATGTGCCCCACGTTGGCTATTGGCAGGGCCGCCATCAGGGGGTGACAACCATGATGGTTGTCATGGGCCCGCACGCTGCCCTATATCTTCAAGGGCCCGGTCAGCACTGCGGCTGTGTAATAGCTCAACCGGGCCCTTGTAAAAAAGTTTTTTTTAAAAGCCAGCCGTTCACTTCCTCCAAGCTCACTCTGCACAGGAGGAGAGACAGCCAGGCAATTAAGAGGGAGAGCCAGCCGACTCCCATCAGCCCCAGCCACCCTCCTGCAACGACAAAAAGGTAAGAAACAGGAAGGTGGCTGAAATATTTAGATGTTTGTTTGTGTCTGTCTGTGTATATGTGAATATTTATATGTATGTGTATATATTTCCGTCTGTGTGTCACTACGTATGTATGTGTGTCTGTTTCAGTATATGTGTGTGTATCCGTGTCCTTTTGTATCAGTGCGTGTGTTTGTGCCTGTGTGTGTGTGTATTCCTGTGGGCGAGATTTGGAGGTGGGTCCTTGGTGCAGGTCCCCAGGGGCCCACACTGTGAGCTGTGTTAGGGGCCCAAAAAATTCCGATAGCGGCAGGGGCTTACCTAGAGCATTTGGCACCCGGGGCGGATCCTGTGCTTGGCACCCCCCCACACCCAAAATAAAAAACCTGTAAAAAATGTTAAAGGTTTTCTTTCTTTTTTTTTTTTTTTTACAATTTGTAAACTTTGCAAAACCGCTGTCCTGCCTCTCCTACAAAACCTCTGTCCTGTCCCTTCTACAAATCCTGTACTGCCTCGTCTACAAAACCCCCGCAACCCCCTTCCACAAATCCCCTGCTTATCCCCCCTTATAAAGACTCCTGTCCCAATACAAAACCCCCGCCCCCTTCTACAAAATCCCTGCAGCCCCACACACACATTTACAGGCAGACAGTCACACACTCAGTTACAGGCAGACAGTCACACATACACATTTCCTCCGTCGGCCAGTTTTATCAGCTGTTTGCTTGTGTGAGCTGTACTGCAACGACACCTAACTACCATGGGACACTGTCAAACTGGCAAAAGTTTTGCCGCCCCCATGTGACATCACAATGCCCCACCCATATGATTTGCCATGTTACGAGCGCCAGTGCTGCAGTGCGCCCGTGTTTACAAAGCCCCCCTCAAATTTCTCTTTCTCCCCCTCCTAATTTCTCTTTCACACCCCTCAAATTTCTCTTTCTCACCCCCCTCTAATTTCTCTCCCCCCTCCTCTTTTCTCTCACCCCCCTTTCTCTCTCACCCCCCCTTTCTCTCTTTTCTCTTTCTCACCCCCTTTCTCTTTCTCTCCCCCCTTTCTCTTCACCCCTTCTTTCTCACCCCCTCCTTTCTCTTTCTCACTCCCCTCTTCTCTTTCTCATTCCCCTTCTTTCTCTTTCACCCCCCTCACGGGTACTGGGAGCTTTTGTTTCCTGTACTCGGCCGGACTAACAGGAAGTGACACTCAGTGTACAGGAGACAGCTGCTCTCTGTAACCGTCGGACCAGCATGCTGCAGGGCTCGGCCACGCTACTACAGAGGGAGTGACAGGAGGGAGCACTGAGCGCTTCCCTCCTGTCAGCCCCCTTTCTCAGGCTGCGCCCGGGCGGTGCGGTCTGCCCTCATGGACGCACCGCCCGTGCAAAGCTGCAGCCGCCTGAGGCTCTATATAGAGCGCTCGGGCGGCTGCAGCATGGGGGGGCCGGCGGGACTGGTCATGGCACCCCTCACCCTGGTGGCACCCGGGGCGGACCGCCCCCCTTAGTACGCCACTGGATAGCGGCCCTGGCTATTGGCAAATGCAAATGCCCTAGATGTGACTGTTCAGAGAGCCCCTGTAATGTATTTATTTATTTTTTTGAGTATGAGGCAAAGGTATATAGGGGCTTCTGTCTCCAACAGTAGCACAAATTTAAAGAGTCTCTGTCATAAATTACATTAACTTTGTTTTGTATTTAAAAGCTAACACTTAAAGGTACACAAACTGTACATCATGTGTAAAAATAACTTTCATTTGTACAAATGAGAAACCAATACCCTACAATAAAAAAATAAAGTTAATGCCCCTTATAAACGGCATTCACAGAGCTGTATATTGGTTTTGGAGTGCACCTCTACTTTGTCACAGATTTTTTGATTGAATTGTTTTGTTTGAGAGACTTAAAGAACCACTATAGTGCCCTGAGGGTGCCCCCACCCTCAGGGTCCCCCTCCCGCCTGGCTCTGGGGAGAGGAAAGGGGTTAAAACTTCTTTCTCCAGCGCTGGGCGGGGAGCTCTTCTCCTCCTCTCCTCCTCCTCTCCTCCCATTTGGCTGAATGCGCACGCGCGGCAAGAGCTGCGCGCGCATTCAGCCGGTCTCATAGGAAATGCTTTCCTATGGACGCTTGCGTGCTCTCACTGTGATTTTCACAGTGAGAATCACGCAAGCGCCTCTAGCGGCTGTCAATGAGACAGCCACTAGAGGCTTTGAGGGCTGGATTAACCCATTTATAAACATAGTGGTTTCAGAGAAACTGCTATGTTTATAAAAACAAATGGGTTAACCCTAGCTGGACCTGGCACCCAGACCACTTCATTAAGCTGAAGTGGTCTGGGTGCCTAGAGTGGTCCTTTAAGTCAAGGGCAGTTGCAGCTAATGTATTAATAGAATATTCTACGGGAGCGCCTTAAATGGCACTTTTAGTATTTACATTAGTACACATGCTGCTTGCAACACTTGCAAGTACACTGACACGTGTGTATGTATATATTGTATTTTTATTTTTTGGGTACTTGAGAATTCCGTGCCTACAGGTGCTAGTAATGTTAATCTAGCCCTGCATTCATGGGAACTTTCTCTGTTGTAGTGGAAACTGATCAGGGGTTCAAATTCAGGGCTGTTAACCATACATGTGGCAATTGACCGGTATGTAGAGCAACTCATTTTTATTTATTCACTTTTTTAAATTGTGTTAGTCAAATGGTTATCAAAACTACACAAAGTTTATCTTACTTTTCAGGGTTTTTTTTAAATTATTTTATTTAAAACAGAGTGCTACTCGACAGGGGTGCCCACTTCTTCTCTTTAATTTACCAAGGTGTGAGGGGTGTAAATGTTGGGCAGGGGAGCTCAGGGTATCCGCATTTGCAAATGACCGCTTACATTTCCTCCCACATCCTAAAACTCCAATCCCATTTCTTTTGAATTTTGATAAATTCCACACAGCGGTTTTAAAATAAATTATGATAAAACTGAAGCTTTAGGCATTCTCCTACAAGGGAAGATGGGATGGTCAATCCTTCATGTTCAATTGGGCACACCATAAACTAAAATAAGAATTTAAATTCTTTTTGATATTGCCATTCTACAGTTATGTGACCCCCTAAATATTATTTGCTTTTGCTGACATATTGGTACATCCGGACACTAGCAAATGCTTCATACTGGAGGTAGACACCTCTGAGACAGGGTGAGTCAGGATACTCCTTTGCATCCTTGTGGGTACTTTTCTAGAACGTTGTCTCCTGCAGAGCTTAACTATGATATCGGTAACAGAGAATTCTTGGCCATTATACTAGCTCTGAAAGAATTGTGACATCTTTTGGAAGGTTCCAAGGACCCACTTCTGATCATAACTGATCACAAAAACTTGGCATATATTGGAGATGCTAAAAGGCTGTCTTCTAGACAAGCTAGATGGTCTTTGTTCTTGTCACGCTTTAACTTTATCATCACATACAGACCAGGTCCTAAGAACGTTAAAGCTGAAGCCCTATCTAGGCAATTTGACATAGAATCAGAACAAGAACAAGAGATATCCACTATCATTCCACCTGAGTGTATCATTGCCTCTACTGTCCTTTCCTTGTCAGCTCCTCTTCTTCGTACTATCAAGGCGGCTCAGTCTCAGGCACCTAGTAATAAACCTCAAGATATATTGTTTATTCCGTTGCTAGAAAGAAAAGAGTGTTCCATGATAATGTGACAGCTGGACATCCGGGTATTAATAAAACTGTATCCACTGTCTCCAGATCTTCTTGGTGGCCTTCTCTTAGAAAAAATATCAGGGAATATGTGAAGGCCTGTATTGTCTGTGCGGTTTCTAAGGTTCCCCATAAACTACCATGTGGGTTATTACAGCCACTTCCTATACCCAGTGTCCCATGGTCTCATTTGTCTATGGACTTCATTGTGGAACTCCTGATTTCTAATGGTTATACCACCATCCTTATGGTGGTTGATCGCTTTTCCAAAATGGCGCACTTTGTTCTGCTCAAAAAGTTAAGTTCTTCCCAAGATCTGGTTCATATATTTATATGCGAAATTGTCAGATTGCATGGTATTCTACAAAATATTGTGTCAGACAGGGGTTCCCAATTTGTGTCGCGATTTTGGAGAGCATTTAATAAACAGTTGGATATAGAATTGTCATTTTCATCTTCGTACCATCCTCAAACTAATGGTGCGGCTGAGAGGTCTAACCAGTCATTGGAACTGTATTTACGATGTTTTGTTAATGGCACTCAGGAAACTGGTCTGACTTGCTACCTTGGGCCAAATTTGCCAGGAATAATGCTACCCATGACTCATCTGGACATAGTCCATTTTTTGTCAACAATGGTCATCATCCTACTGTTCTTCCTGCGATGTTCTCCGACGCGGCTATTCCTGCTCTGCGTGAACATCTCGCATGTATATGTGAGATTTGGACTAAGGTCCACACGGCTCTTGAAACTGCTG